CCACATTGACCATCCCAATCGGCAAATGTGAAATGGTTCACAAGCGACTCAGCTTGAAGAGCCAAAATGTGCCCACTTGTATTTCAATATGTCCCCATCCCAGGTCCACTGTACGTATCTTGAGGGTACCTATAATTCTTCAACATTTCAGAAACTGAGTTCAACGGAATAAACAATCCCCTGAAAATCTCCGGCGACCCATGGGTTGCTATTTCTGACATTTCCAAGGTCTCAGTCTATGTCTGGCGTGAAGGTTTACTAAATAAGGCCTCAATTTTATGACTACCCAGATCATTTTTCTTCCAAGTCCACCATGACCGTACCTTACAAGTAATCATCCAGGTTATCACTCTTGTTAACGCTTCTCTACTGTCCTTCCCAAAATATCAGAGCAAGAGCAGGTGCTTCTCAGTTCTCCAAGTCATGATCATGTTAACAAAATGTATAGCTGACTCGCAGATGTCTTTATATGGAAACGTTGCTGAGGTCATTGAGGTAGGAACCTTGCACCTTGGAACATACGATAGCCTCAATATAGAAGAGGGAAACTTCTATGAGCAAGTAGATGACGTGGCGATGGGAAATTCACTTATCCCAGTGACAGCCATCTTCTTCATGGAACGTTTGGAAGATAGAACAATCAACACCTCTGAGTTAAATCCATGGATGACGTGGATAACGCCTTCGTCATCTGAAATCATGGAAGGGGTGCTCTAAACCTTTTCCTAGACCACTTGGACGCTCAACACCCCAGCATCGAGTTCACCATGGAGACTGAACAGGAAGTAGATAGCGTTCCCAGGTGTACTCATCAAACGATGTGGTGTTAAGGCTAACCCACAAAGTGTACTGAAAACCTACTCACACGGATGGGTACCTGCCCAAACTATCAAACCACCATCCCAGTTAGAAGAGAGGAGAGGACTCTAACCGAACAGGCTTGAAGAATTTGGGAACCAGAGCATCAAGAGGAAGAACTGGACCATCTTCAAGCGACCTTGAGATCGAATGGATACAGTGTACCTGAGATCAACAAGGCCAGGAAACTGAAAGGTTCCACAGTTCAAAACGGAGAGGAGGCTCAGATGGTTGCACGTGCGTATCTATCATATATTCCTAGAGTCACAGACAGAATTGCAAAACTGCTGAGGAAACAACATAAAAGCGGTTTTCAAACTCACCAAGAAGATACAACAAAGCCTCAGGTCGACGAAAGACGAGAATAACATGACAAGTCAACGAATCTTATTAACAATTCACCTAATCCAGGTACAGACGTCAGCACACCAAACTACCTGAATCACCGTAAATACACTTTACGCAGTCGTAATACTCAGTCATCGGAGATAACCTCAAGATGTATGAACCTCTGAAGAAGTAAGCCACTCGCGCCGGCGAAACGTCAGAAAGAAATTCCAAGAATTGACGACCTTCAAACCCAAATAAAATAGTGACACTAAAAACCTAGGCCGCGAAAGCCTAAATCATTTTGTCAAACGCCTGTTTTCCTCATTAGATTCTTGGTTGTCTACAACAACAACGTCCTTTTGTAAAAGACGCTTTCCTGTCGATTGACATGCAGGTTGTTGAGTTTTCCATTGACATGGTGAAAAAATAATGTTGTGTATCTCTTGGGTTCTGTCTTCTGATAAACCGAAGCCCCAAAAAAATTTAACTTAATGCCACAACTTCTTCAACTTTCTAAGATACATCTTCATGTAAAGTACTGTCAAAACGAATACATAATGTTAGCACTTCAGAAAAGTGATCAGATCTGATACATTCGTTAAAACATACCTCAACTTGAGGTATAGTATACACGAAGTCAATTCAAATGGCATAAAAACTAAATAGTATGGATACCAAGATACCAACCAACACCGTACACCAACATCCTGGCCTGCTAGAATACTTGTAGAGTTTTCAGCTCCTGGCGAGACAACTATCGTCCGAAAAGAGGAGGAAAAACGGTTAAAATATCGAAATTTTCTCTTCGAACTCCGCAGACTCTATCCAGATCACTCTGTCAAGATGGTTGTTCTGATTATTGAATGTCCTTGGTGGAATGGTCTCCTCTCTACTCTCGAATCTCAAAAACAGACCCGCTTGCCGCACTAAGGCAGAAATCTTAGCCGGACAGATGCAGAAAGCTGTCATTCTTGGCTCTCTGCGCCCACTCGTGCCACATGATTTCCGGGTCCAATGATCACTCACCCAATGGTGTGAGGAGTGGTCGTTGCGCTGTCCAGCGCAAACTACAGTAGAAAAAATAATACTCCGTTTCTTAGTGACATGTAGAAACATGTATAGAATTTCTCAACAAAAAACAGTGACCAATTGACTAAAAGAATAGAACTGAAACTAAAACTCTTCCAAGAAGTAAAATCCACCTTTTAACAGGTGCTTCCTAAGACATTTTTTCAATGATTTCAATGTTACATGTGATTTAATTTCGGCCGGAAGTTTATCGAACAATCTTTGCCCAGTCACAGTGGGTGACCTATATAAATGGTTAGTCCTTGTAAGTCCTTGTAAGTAATTCCGCTGTCTTGTATTAATAGTGTGAATTTGCCTAAATAACGATATGATAGAATTTGCTTCAATAACGATATGAAAGAATTCTGTAGATTCTTAATAAGTTAAAAAAATGCATGTGTGGTTGTTCTTATGTTCGCACGTAAGAAGTTATACTTCTTTGGCGTAACAAGATAAAAATATTTCAAAATATATTTCTAAAAATGATCCCGTAATCCTACGTGTGTAGAAAAAACAATAATAATAGAAAATAAATACTAGATACCGTCACTAACCTCAAATTCTACAAACGTACTCAAAGTAATACGTAAAAACCACTTTTATCACTTATAATCACTTCATCACTTATAATAATCATTGTTCATATGTATTTTATTCGGACTGATACAGAACACGTGTTGTGAATCGCTACTTTTTGAGAAGACTAACGGCCCCCTACGCCAGTAACCAGGCTGGATGTCAACTGATTCATCGACGTCGTCAGTGCGATATAGATGTGTTATTTGTGAGTCATATTAGGAGGCCTGGCGGCCCCGTAGTAACAAAATTTAGTGTTTTTATAAAAGAAGAAGTGAATGAGAAAACTTAGAGTGGCAACATTGATTCGAGCAAGACAGCTGCGCCCCCTGAACGGAGCTTCTGTTCACTGTCGACAGGTGGAGGCTGGCCAAATGCGCTTGACTGAGAAGCCACAGTCATATAAATTAAAGAAGAAGAAACTAACTTCAGGATGTCGATTTTTCGTGTCGGAGTGCGCACGCATCGTAAAAACTCACTGTCGTCATTGTTCCCTAAGGCGCCAAAAGAAGTATACCTTTAAAAAATTGAAAGTAGCTTGCTGTTTTGGAAGATATGTTAACTACGCGAATTACATCGATGCCCAGCACGGGGGACACGCTGAGTCTACGAAAGCGTGCACCGGGAGATGAGCCGACTTGGGAAGATTCCAGGGAACTGGCCGGCATTCATGATCAAACTTTCTTACTGTAAAGACGTACCTTTGTCTAATAATCATTGTTGTACTTAATAAATTGTTTTTTGATTTAAAAAAAGACTTTGAGTGTTCGATAAGTTATTAGGCGCAAAACTATCCGATGAGCATCGAACTGCAATTACAGCTAACCAACTTTCAACTGAATCTTTACTAATACTATCCGTTTATTCCTGTGATCTACTTCAATGCGTCCCTGATTGAACATATCACTGAGAATGCTTTCAAACTTATATGCATGTCAGTCAAACTACTGCTACGTTCAAACTAAACTTTCCAAACCGACGTTATGCTTATAATCACGATATCGAATGTGTGGAAAACGGTACCAGTCTCTTCATATTTTCCGACACGCAAAACGGATACTCGAAAAATGAAAGGGATTAAATTCTACCTTCTACGATATAATTTATACCTAAATAGTGTGTTCAACGAGGAAATTCCGTAGAAATCATTGTATAACATTTAAAGAACTTACAACCAATTACAAGTTCGTAATAGTGGAACAATAGCGACAATTTGTTTTACCATGCTATAGGCTGTTTCAAAAGTTTTGTCAGTTTTTACGCGTCTACTTTAAACTGTTATATCTCAGGGAATACTCATTCAATTCAATCGAAAGAAGCGCCATTTGATTCAGTGCACTTTTGCCAACGTAACACAAGTCACGCCGACTGACTGACTCACTGACTGACCGTTGACTCACTGACCATCTGACTGTTTCAAAGACTGACGACCGAATGACTGACTCACTGACTGATGACGGACTCACTGACCCTACGCACTGACTGGCTTACTCACCGACTGACTAACTCACAGACTGACTCAATGAGTCACCGATTGACTGACGGCTGACTCACTGACTTTACTCACCGACTTACTGTCGAGCTGACCGGCTGACTCAGTGACTGACCAACTGACTCATTCATTGACTCACCGACTGACTGACTCACTGACTGACTGATTCACCGACTGACTCACTGACAGCCACTTGCGTATGGCGACCTGTTGCCACGGCATGCGTCGCCACGTCAACAATCGTTTTTACGTGCGGCTATAGATGTTTCACATCCAAAAAAACCGCAAGACTTTTGCAAGGATATCTGCATTCCTAGATGAAAATCTATCCAGATTATTTTCCACTTGCTATAGTTTATTTAGAATGTACAAGGTCACTGTTAATAACCTCATGACGGGATAAAATTTCAGATGCGATTTCTTTAGAGATGGTGTTTAATGAATTGACCTGGGAAAATAACACACTCCATTTTTCACCCTTCAAATGGTTCTTTTTTTTTTAGTAAGCTGGGCAATAAGCGTAACATAACAAAAGATAGTTTTTAAAATATCTGGAAGCTGGACAATACCTAAAAGAAAAGACAGGTTAGCATTTGCATTAGAACTAATACTAAACTCAGTTTGTACTATTTCATGATAGATACAAGTACCTTGATATTGAATGAAAGCAGAGAAATGGAACATGGAACATCATTTAATCAATCAATGATTGTATACTTCATTGTCAAAAGAACCAAATTCTTATTGACACATCATAAAATTAATATTACATCAAAATATATGGTAGATATAGGTATACATTCCCTGTGTATACAAATACATTACATCACTTCAATCACAGTTAATTATTCAATACAATTAAGATATACGAACTGGCATCTCTTTTTATCAGTAGAACTTAAACAGATTGATAGAAAACCCGAAAGATAAAATATAAACACCCTCAAGTTGAGCAGATATTTAAAACCAATGCAAAAGTGTGGTTTGTTTTCTAATGATTTCAAGACATCAAGAAAAAATATCAATTTATCATGCTGACAAGCAGTTTTACTTTCAAAAGCAACAGTTCTTATATGAAAGTAGGTACTGTTATACAACTCATAATAAGATACAAGGCGAATAAGGGATTCATGCACCAGTTCCGAGTCGAACGTCACAAGTTCAAAGTTAGGAATTCATGTTTTTCATTTAATACTTACTATTGAAAATGTTGCCACTGAAAATTGATGATCAACTGCTTACAATTTTTTGTGACTCACGACTAAAGACTGTCTGTTTAAAAAAATCTGTCTAGTCTGTCTGACTAGTTGCATAAATCCACCATATTTCTACTGTAATCAGATTCCTATAAATGAAGGGTAGTTAAGTAGTGCTACAAGTGGAGGGTTTTAAATGAGAGTAAAATCAATCACTACAATTTGGCTGAACAAAAACGCACACAATAGATAGGTACTATGAAATATGACATGCAGTCACTGGAGTCTCACCCTGTATGAAAAAGGATCTTCCTCACTGTAGTAATTCCTGTCGGTCATTTTGATAACTTAAATAATCTCACATTTCTTAACGCGTTTGCAAAACAACGTGAGACTTGCATATTTCCAGTTTGTAAATCACAAGAATTCACTGCAATCATCTTTTTGGGTCTCGGGTCACAAGGTCAGCGAACAATATTTTATTGAAATTTACACAGTGTTCCATGTCATTAAAATTTCATATCAACACATCACATATCTGTTTCAAATTTCGAATGTTTGGGATATAAACTGAATGGAAAAATTGATTTTCATGTAATTCAATGGTCATATGAAAGTATTTATTTTCTATCTTCTTTCCTTTGGAAATTTCACCCACTTTTCTTTCAATGATAGAGAAGTTGAAAGTCAAAAATAGCAAATAAGTTTGTGTTACAGATATAATTTTGTCGGAGAAAGAGCAGTTGTCTTGATGGTATACTGAAATTTAAAATTCTACACTTCATCAGAGTTCCGTGTACAAACTAACTTCAAATGTTTCAAAGAAACAGTTATGATATAAGGAAAACTTCTCATTCTATACCAAATCATTATTTGAGGTTATGTTATTTGCTGTGGTTTTTGCCCCCAAAAGTCACGATTTTAAGTGTTGCTTGTGAGGTGAGCTCCAGAACTTTAGATCACTAATATTACCTACCAGCAGCCTTATTTACGTTTTCTATGAACCCATCATCGAAAATATTCGTCAAACGTGGAATCTGCGGCATGCTTCGCACGAATTGCCCAGCCAAAATGGCCATGGAAAATATTCCATCGTTCTTGAATGTCACGCAAGATTTCGTAACAGAGGAAGGATTTCGATATATGAAAGGCATATTAACAACACTGAATATCTCAGAATCGATAGCCCTCAAGGACCTTCCCGAGCCCAGCTCCTTGTTGACGTTCTCTACGGAAATTAGCTGCGACGCGAAAGAACATTCTGTAGAAGGTTTAATGCTGATGATGTCCGACTTTTTGTTGTCCACCACGTTCTCGATGAACTTCAAATCCGGGCCGATGGAGAAGTTGTTCACAGCAGACTTTCCTGATTGGAAGAGGACCTTGCCTTGCACGAAGTCCATGCGCAGGGTGAAGTCCTTGGGGCACCTCTTCAGCTGTCTTAGAGCTTCGGCGGAGATGTCGGAGAGACGTACTGAGAGATGGGAGTCGGGACGATTAGACAAAGTGCTGGTGAACTCTGGAAAGGTGATCGTTATGTCGAGACCGTTCGTCTCTTCTTCTTCCTCGGTGTTCATTGGGGGTTCGCAAGATGGTATGAAGACTCCGTCCATGGAGTCTGATTCCTTCAGAGGGATTTCTTTTTGGGTCTGGAAATTATTGAATTGTTAATGGTGGAAAGAGCCGCGAGTGAACCGATGAATATCGATATGAATATACACGGTGGGCCATCGACAACTGACATGGAGGTTTTGGGTACTAATCTTGCAATTATCGGGAGGATCTGTTAATATTTCAATAAGATGGGGTTCCTCCGCACTATGCTCTGCCTGTTCGGCAGTATTTAGATCAGACTTTTCCGGATCACTGGATTGGGAGTCGGGGCACTATCTAACGGCCCCCACGATCACCAGACCTTTCGCCGTTACATTTCTTTCTGTGGGGTCACTTGAAAAGCAGAATTTACTGTACTCCTCCTGCATCACTCGAAGATTTACAGCAACGAATCACAAATGAATGTCGCCAAATAAGTCCAGAAATTATCCTGTTCGAAAACGTTTCCATCAGAATCTCTATTATTGCATGGAAGCTGGAGGTGCCTATTTTGAGCATATGCTAACATGAGCATAAAGTAAGTAACGTCAACTCTGAATTTAATATGGTTCGTCCAAATTTAAAAAAAAAATGTACACCGTTGTATAGAGAATTCCAAGATCTTTCAAACGATGTGCGACTCTGTCCCCCTCCCAATAAAAATCGACCTGTCTGAGCGTTTTTTAGGATTTGCAAGATTAGTACCCAAAACCTCCATGTCAAGTTTTCGATGGCCTACCCTGTATTCTATGAATAATGGTAGTTCAGTAGCATAAAGTAACCCTGTAGCTTGTAGATTTAGATTGAACTCTAACTTAGGGAGTATTTCGTAGAGCATTATAAGATTATTTCTTGAATATATATGTTTGATACGGAATACAATTTATTGTATTTAGTATTTTCATCTGTTCATGAATATGATTTTCTATCCATAAGCTAATTTACATATATTATTTTTATCGATTTTATTACATAACCTTATTCAAAACAGAGTACATTATAGTTTATTGCTAATCAACCTCAAAGTTTTTGAGAAGGTACACAACTGACTCTCATGATTTATAATTATTGAAATATGAAGATTATGTTATACTCATCATCCATGTAATTAGACCTTTAGTCTGTTTGGATACCGGGGATCTGGAGTCCGGAATTTCCCAGTACGGGCTAACATCTCTGAAGTTAGTGAAGATTTAAAAACATTTTGACAATTACATGTCAGGGTACAGATTACATATAGCTATCACTATTCAGCTAAATAAATCAGTATCCACAAAGTCAGGAACTGTATATTTCAAGTAAATACTAAACACTAAGTACATTTAAAGTGACATATTTTGTCACGTTATGAAGATAAACCCCCCCCCCTACATACACACACACACACACACACACACACATATATATCAGTTCGTAGGCTAACACACAGATGGCGCCATCAGTATTGAATTCTTCTGATTTTCAGATAACCTTAACCTTCAAAAGTCACGTGAACTAATTTTACAGTTGTCCGTGTTATTGAACCGTTTGAAGGACGAAATCGCGGAAAACGGCCCCATTCGAAAAAAAAGTGCTGTTTCATCAAGGCAATGCAACGTGTCACAAATCAATAAAAACGATGGCAACATTGCATTAACTGGGCTTTGAGGAATTTACCGCCAATGACAAGGTAATCCTCGAAGGGCGATAATAAAATAGAATTTAATCCAAAAAAATATGTTAGCCTACGACTATGTATATCGTGCGTGCATGGTTTGTGCAAGTGCTTCCCTGTAAGGATTAGGTTTTTTTCCTGGTTTGATAATTATGAGTAAATATATGTAAATTTGGTTTGTGTTCGAATTCAAAAATTGTTGCCTTGAAAAAACTTTTGCTTCACTCAACACAAAACCGGCAGAATTTCGTATTGGTTTTCTGTATATCATTTTCAGGAAAGTTTATTAATCGGTTTCTGTATTTTCTATATGTTTTTCGAGCTCCCTTCCCCACTCTGGAATATAAAACTTCATTCAATCTAAAAAAATTGTTTTTCCCATTTTTCGATTCTGCTAAGATTCGACATCGAGCCCAAATGAGATTTGTCCTCTTGATTTCTCTGCAGCTTTCACCGCAAGGCAACTAGTTGTAACTAGAGCCCAAAACAATTGTCAACATAAACAAGACTGGCGTACATACAGTCAGACAGATAACATACATAAAAAAAATCCGAATACTATCTCTGAAGCCGTCCGTCACTAACAGAAAATTGAGTTTGTTCTGACGATCATAAGGAACTACTCATTAAGGTCGCATGAAAACCTCTTTATGACTAAAAACATTCCTCCCTCCTCCATGTTGTAGTCACTGATCAATGATAAACTCAATAATGATATCATCTAGTACTCCAGCTTGACTTTCCTTACCTTAGTCTCTTCTATTTGTGAATTCAAAGATTCCGAGGTTAGTTTCGATCCTAACGCCAAATCAGTTTGGACTCCTTCAGTATTATCTATTTGTGTATCCTCCACATTCCTTTTTGTTTCTTTACTTCTATCCTTCGTTTGCATGAACTTGATATATATTTTATTTTCTTTTTTGGGACTCTTTTTAGTCGCTTTCTGCGATAGTTTTGGTTCGTCCATTTTAACGCTTTCCTGTACCACAGAACTTTGGTCCATTTCGGGAAGCTTATTGCCACTTTGGGGATTTTCTGGTACGGCAGGATTTCTATCCAGTTCAGAAAGTTTGTCAGCGATTTTCTGTATTTCCGATATTTTCATAAATAACTTCTCTACGTACTCCTTCTGCGTTTTTTGAGGGCTGTTAGTTTCAATTCGCGAGGCCGCTTGTTTCATCTGGGATATATTACTCAGCAAATCATCCAGTATGTTTGTAACACTCCTTTCTGAGACATTTGTGCTTGTCATCAATCCTTGTCTTGCTAAAATTTCATCAGAGATCCTCTTTACCGATTTGCTCTCCTTCTTCTTGTCATCTTCAAACTTTCTACGTAGCATGGATGTTGTTGCCTTCAACCTCTCTTGTAAACCCATCATCCTGGAAGATATTTTACTTGGTCCAGCTGACGTGGGTTTGGTATCTTCAGAAATAACCCTTTTCTTCCCAGCAAAGTCAATAGATTTTTTTGATGGATTCGGTTGGTTGCTTTTGTTAGTAGTAACCAGTAGATCTATTTTTCCACAATCCCTAACTGGTTTTGTACTGCTGTTGGCCCTGGAGAATTTGGGTATCAAGCTGGGCCTTTTGGAAGGTTTCTTATTCAACTGATTTTTCACATTCTGCGACACTTTAGACTTAGTAGCATGGTCCTTATGCAGTTTGTCTATATTTTTAGCATCAACACTATCCTCCTCCATACTACTTTTGACTATGTTGTTACTTCCCGAGCTTCCACCTAAAGACTCCCGTGACATGCTTGCTACAACATCAAAAGAAGGTATCAAATTTGTTGAAGCGTGCGATTTGATCACATCATTAGCGGAATCCTCTTCTTCTACTTCAACTTTCACATCAGAAACTCGTTTAGAGGTACTTGCTATGCTTTCGAATGATATCATCTGGGGAATTGCTGCTCCAGTTACGTTTGGATGGCATTCACAGAGGATGTCCTGCTCGCTTTTCTTATTGACGTCGTCTCCAACATTGTCTTTTTCATAGCTTGGTCCTGCGTGTCCAGGAAGTTTGTTCGAGGTTCTCGGTCTTTTGGAATCAGGTTTCTCATATTTGATTATTTGGGCTTCCAGCTCTTCGAGTTCTTGTTTGGAGAAAATGTTTGCTTTGCTGGGGATTCGGTTTGCGGAACCATCGGTTTCTTCTGAATCAGTTTTGTGGTTTTCTTCTTCATTGTTATTATCCATTTTGGAACTTTCTCTAAATGCCTGTTTGGACTACTGAAGATTTTTATATTTTTTATGACGAGGAAATTGACGCAAATGTCATATATTTTCTGTATTGGACAGTTTTGTTGACACATCGACCAACAACTGACATTTTTGTGTTGCTTGAGACAATGCTAGATAGAAGATGATAACTAGGGTTAAAAAATGAAACAGACTAACGAGTAGTTGACAATAACGATATTGCCGAATACTTATAAATACAAACTTAAACCCCTATTTTCCCCCTTGGGGGTGGACATTTCTGATTCCCTTCCTTGATGCTTATTTACGTTATACAAAGAACCTACCTGCATATTTCAGGATTCTGGGTTCATTAGCTTCGGCTGTACGTTTATATAAGCGAGTCAGTCAATCAATAGATACCCACTTGGCACTCCATTGGCGTAGGGTAGTGGTGCAAACCTCTAGAGAAATTAATAATTGTCAGAGTAACATTTCGTATTGAAATTTATACGAAATATCCAGTTTGTTAGTTTAACAAAAATTCTCTCTGAATCTCCTGAGTGGAAGGATCATTGTCGAAGTAGTTTTCAGATTCAAATCATTGAATATTTGTGTGAAATAGAGAATTTGCCTACCAAGTTCTTCGTTGGAATCCTCCACTTACGAAGTGGGAATAATTCTGCTAACTCCAACAGTGTAAGTGGATAAATAGTGTTGTGTTTGCAGGTACAAAGTCAGTTTATATACATATACTATAATTCCAAAATAGTAGGCACTAAATTCTCAGAAATGACAGACGTTTTTGCCTTAATCTGAGACTTGTAGTGGGGCATGCAAATGATAGTAAACAGATATGGAAAATTGATGATGAAATATATAGAATCACAACCTTAACAACAAAGCGTTTTGATGCTATGATATTTCTGAGAATTTAGTCTCTTCTATTATGAAATTGTACTGATTCATTGATTCTGAATATGATTTTGCATTTCTTTACTAGTTTCTGATATTAGAGATAGTTCTGAACACATCATTATCACACTATTTCACTGAAACAATATATTTTGGATTTACTCGACTCCTCAACTGAAGAGTTGTCTTTTACATTTTCTATCACAATAGATACATGTTACGACGAATATTTATGACTCAATAATTAATGTTTTCCTTGATTCCGATGTTCCACTTATAAAACTAGATGTCGCTCACTGTCAAACAGTGTTACACAAACGCAAGCTCTATCACTAATGGCTAACCTTATTTTTCTGTGAATTGATTCAAAAACTTTTTTTGGAAGCCATAATGACAGCCGATTTTGCTGTTTTATCACAACGCAACCCTTTTCCATACCGTGAATGTCTCTGAAAAACGATAACTGTCAAAATAACATCTAGTAAACGATATATTTTGGATTTACTCGACATTATAAAGAGTTGTCTTTTACATTTCTATCACAATAGATACATGCCACGACGAATAGTTATGACTTATAGCAATAATTAATGTTTTCCTCAATTCCGATGTTCCACTTATAAAACTAGATGTCGCTCACTGTCAAACAATGTTACACAAACGCAAGCTCTGTCACCAATGGCTATCCTTATTTTTCTGTGAATTGATTTAAAAACTTTTTCTGGAAGCCATAATAACAACTGATTTTGCTGTTTTATCACAACTCAAACCTTTTTCATGCCGTCAATGTCTCTGAAAAACGCTAACCGTCAAAATAACATCTAGTAAACGATATATTTTGGATTTACTCTACATTATAAAGAGTTGTCTTTTACATTTCTATCACAATAGATACATGCCACGACGAATATTTGTGACTATGGTTTTTTGTAGCAATAATCAATGTTTTCCTTGATTCTGATGTTCGTATCATAAAACTAGATGTCACTCATTGTCAAAGAGTGTTAAACAAGCGCAAGTTCGATCACCAATGGCTATCCTTATTGATATAAAAAAATTTGGAAGCCAAAACGACAACTGATTTTGTTGTGTTATCACAATGCAAACCGTTTCCATAATGTCAATGTCTCTAAAAATCGCTAACAGTCAAAATGACATCTACTGACATGACTTGCGAACGACGAAAACTTACTTATTGATAAACTAATGACCGATAACACCCCAACGAAAGTAGATGCTGAAACCCAAACGGTGATCAGAGTGTACCCCCATGTGTTCGACAGTATCGACGAGTTTTCAAGGATAACATCCGACAGAAAGCTCCAATCAGTGATAAGTATAAAACCGAACGAAGAGACCTCGAGATTCTTCTCCCTTCTTCGGTTTACCCCCTACACGGACATCAAGGAGGACAGCATCCGCGTGGTGGACCTCGTGAGGAAAAAAAAACTCCAGTTCACGACTGCGGACCCGGAGAAGATGGCGGATGTGGCCAGGAAAATGTCACTCGCCGACGACGATGGAGTGGGAGACATCTGCTGCGCTATTCTGCGCAGAAGATTGACGAATACGGTGAGGGCGAGTTACTTTGACGCTGCTGCGCAGACCGACGTGAAGGTGCATCCGCACATTCTGGAAGAGCTCAAGGTTGCAACCGTGAGCATGGATGTGCAGACGCAGACAGCGGGAGCACCACCGTGTTTCAGTATGAAGTAATTTCGAAATAGTGGATGGTTTGGAAAACTCTGGTTGCGATTTTAACTTCCGATGTGTGTGGAATACCACTTTTTTGTCTCCAAAAAAGGCACGAATATGGCAGTTTCTTTACAATATAAGTTTAGTGTGTTTAAGAATTATATATAATAAAAACATTTAATAATGAAACTCTGCATATGAGATGCAAATATAATTTTTGTGGAGGAAAAGTTCTTTTTCGATTTCTTTTTGACTTTTTCTTTTAGTTTTGTCACATTGGAGTTACCAAAAAAGTTGGAATGCCATTCCAACCATCGTTGGAACCTTCGAGATAGCAGGCGCCCTCTCGTCGTAGCATCGCCTTGTCACGGTAATGCGGGGCTCTGCCGTGATTGACCTTCTTTCCCTAGCTACTCGTGGGACTTTTATGGACAGAGTAATCTCAAAAATTCTTACGACGCTGAGTCTACAGAGGAGATGAATGTCGAGCTTACGACTTCAACTGACCTCCCTGTAGATTTAGATCAGGATCGTGAGCTTCTCAACTCACCAACTGCTGATCCAAAAACTGAACCTTAAAAAATGGCAAAAACCCTCATATGGAAAGGTTGTCGCGGGTATCAAGGTGGAAATCTTGCACCTTGACTATCCGACTACCTCATTAACGATGAAACAACAGAGCATATTCTTTGTTCCTGCCCCGCTGGGGCAGGCCCCGCTTCGTTAAAAAGCTGGATATATTTGGTCGAGTGTGAATAGGTGTGAGCCACAATAAACCCTTGCGGGTTGCGATGGACGGTCGAATAGACCCACTCACTTTTGACCTAACCTAACCTACCAAAAAAGTTTCTTGATGTTTTTAGGGTTGTTACCTTCCATAAAATGAAATATTGATAAATCTAGACCAATGGATACTCCGGTCAAAATATGTGATAAATTTGGCCGATACTTGATACTATATTAAATCATCATGTAATAAACTAATTAATCATTCGTGTTTTATATAATAACAATTTAAATGATAACAGTTTAGCTAAAAACTATTTAAAATTCGTTTTTCAACAAACTCATTGAATATACATTTGATGAATTGATTATCAATTTCCACATCAAAAAACAGATTCAGAAGCGATGAAGAATTCAATTTCATTTGGTAACTCAGACATTGTTCAGAATTCTTGAATCTATTATTTTCCGAGCATTCCAAAAGATTGACCCTCTATCAAAAAATGTTTGCAATTGTGGAATTGGGCTCACATTCAAAAAACAACTCATATGTTCTTTTATTCTTTGGGAGAAGGTTCCCGCCGTTTGGCCAATATGAAATTTCAGGCAAGAACCACAAGTTAACTTCCTGATTTTTCGACAAGTAAAAATTTCAAAATACAGTTTTATTTGAGTGAATCCGGTCAAGGATAATAATGTTGGCTTTTAAGCACAAACATGTACTTTAATCGTATGCTGGACCTCTTAATATCGTCAATATCCCATTTGCAGGCTGCTTCGTACGGTGATGTTTATATTGTTTAACTTTAGGGAAATGTTTATCAAAATAGTACAGGAAAATTTCTAAAAAATACTGAAAGACACCATCCATATTTTCCATGGTGAAAAGAAACTCCCAATTTTCATTACAGATATCAAGTTAGAAGGTGGAAGATTGAAACCCGAACAACAAAAAAATACAGTCATTTCTTCACACAAAAATATCATTCAAAGAGTTTCTTGATATTACACAAGAGAGACAAATCTCCAACCTTTCTTCGATGTTCCAGACTATCAAAGGGTGCAAGTCATATTCGTACCTCCAATCAGGCTGATGGCTTTTTTTTGGATGGGATCCAGCAGCTTCAGGGTATGCTTGGTGGCTGAGAACAATACTCCAAGGAAGGTCTTATCTGAGCTCTATAAAGCGTCAAAAGTTGCTGAGATGTGTACAGTATTATGTTTCTGAACAATGTTCCAAGCTTTCGAGAAGCAGCCTTTGCAATGCCAGCGACATGATTGTGCCAAGATGTACTGGTGTCCTTTTTAACCTCCAACAAGCTTATCGAAGCAAAAATGGGAATCGTTAGTCCTGACATTATATCCGGCCCGGAGACCTTTATCTTTATGGAGGTTTTCGTGGCTTCAAATCGAACCTGGTTACTTTCTCTCCAATTTGAAATCACCTCTAGATCCTCATTAAGATATGCAACCTCCTGCTACCACTGAAGATGTACGTCCACAGCCGATGTTCTAGAAGCCAAATGGAATTTCGTGACAAGGGTGCTGTCGTCCGCAAAGCAATACAGGGTGTTCCTTAAACACATGCTAATATTTAAGGAGGTAATTCTTAGACCCATTTTAAGAAAAAAAAATCCTATGGATGTATGTCCTAAACGCGTTAACTTTTGAGATACAGGGTGGCAAAGTTTTCAAAAATAACCAGTTTTTTAATAATAACTGAGATAATTTTGTAGACATCTTTGGCATATTTGGTACATATGTTCCATGCCTCAAGGCGCATTTTCT